AATGAAGACTACTATTTACTGGGCTTTTACTGTGGGCTTTTACTGTACTTAAGGTGTGTGTATATTATTCACACACACATTTTTATATTTTTTTAAATTTCATTTCATTTTTTGTAGAGATGAGATCTCGCTATATTGCCCAGGCTTGTCTCAAACTTCTGGTCTCAAGCAATCCTCCCATGTCAGCCTCCCAAAGTGCTGGGATTATAGGTATGAGCCACTGTATCCGGTCAAGGTTTATATTTATTACTTCGCTGAATTTTCCCAACAACCTCAGGTGGCAAGTATCCTTTTCATCTTGGATAAAATTAGGCACAGAGAAATAAATAGTTTGTGTAGAATCACACAGCTACTATGTGGTAGAGCTGCAAGTGTCTGATTTTAAAGCTTGCACTTTTTTTTCCTCATGCCTGAGAAAAGCTTGCATTTCTTTTTTTTGAGTTGGAGTCTCACTCTGTCACCCAGGCTGGAGTGCAGTGGCCGCTCCCGGCCACCACAGCCTCGACCTGCTGGGCTCCGGCGATCCTTCCGCCTCAGCCTTCCAAGTAGCTGGAACTACAGGCGTGTGCTACCACACCCGGCTAATTTTTGATTTATTGTAGAGATGAGGTCTCGCCAAGTTGCCCAGGCGGGTCTCGAACCCGCAGGCTCAGGCAATCCACTCACCTCAGCCTCCCAAAGCGCTGGGATGACAGGCTGAGCTACCGAGAGCTTTCAATTCTAACCAGAACTTGGCACATCTTCCCTTCCAATTGAGCTTCCCTCTGTATCTATTTGAAAATGCCTACTTTTAATACACAATAATTTAGAGGTATTTGTAACTTCTTACACCTTTTGTAAAATATCTTGGAAAATGTATTGCAGCATATTTCATGTTCTTTGATTAAATTAGGCTTAATTGTACTATCCAAAAAAAGAGAATTAAATGAAATAAACTCACAAATCCATTTACTTTAGCATCCTCCTGAGTTGATGCCACTCTTTTGCTAACAGTCCTTCAATGTCTCCAGTTGGGTTGCTATAACAAAACAGCATAAGTTGGATGGCTTCTAGACAACAGGAATTTCTTTCTCACAGTACTGGAAGCTGGAAAATTCAAGATCAAGGCACCTGTGGACTTGACTGGCCAGGGCCTGCTTCCTCATAGAGAACCCTTCTTGCTATGTCCTCCAGTGGTAGAAGCACCAAACTGGTCTCTTCAATTCCTTATAGAATAATCACCTTTATGAGGGCTCCACCCTCATGGCCTAATCACCTCCCAAGGCCTCTTCTCCTAAAACCATCACATGAGGGATTAGGTTTCAACATATGAATTTTGTGGAGATACATTCAGTCCACAGCTGGAGGCAAAAGCCAAAGTCCTTTACAAAACCACCCCCAAGGCTGCTGGCAATTCGTATCTCCTGTCTCCTCTCTCCTCTGTTAGTTCTCCCATCTAACTTCGCATCATCTCCCTCAGGCCCCTACCTCTGTGTTCCCTCCACCTCTTCTTGGTATTTGCTCCGATAGCACCTGTCTTCTTTTGTCTTCCCCCCCACCAGCTTTATCAAGGTATAATGAATATACAAAAAATGCACATAGCTAATGAATACAATTTGGTGAGTCTAGATAGATCTATTCACCCATAGTACCATCATCCCAATCAGATAATGAACATACCCATTACCTCCAGCTGTTTTGTGTACTTTTGAGTTTTTTTCTTTTTGAGGGGTAAGAACATTTAACATAAAATCTATACTCTTAACAAATTTTTAAGTGCACAATATCTTATTGTTAACTGTAGGCATTGTGTTGTATATAGCATATCTCTGGAACTTGTACAACTGCAAAATGTTACTTTATTTCTTAGTCTTTCTGGTCCACATCATTTGCTACTGAAATACCCTCCTCTCCTTCTTCAGCACACCCTGCCTACCCTGCCTCTCTCTTATTTATTTTTTTCCTGTAGAACTTGTCATCATCTCTATTTTATTTGCTAAGTCTCTTAAAGAGTGTAAAGGCGTAATTACATAGTCATTGCTGTATCTCCAGTAGACTAGTGCCTATCTTAGAGAAGATACTCAAAAAATATTTTGCTGGGTGGATTGTGTAACAAAGTATAGCATTTAGCTATGTTCCTTTGCTGCAGCCTTAAAGTATAAACTATAGCCGGGCTCCGTGGCTCAGCCTGTAATCCCAGCGCTTTGGGAGGCCAAGGTGAGTGGATTACCTGAGTCCGCGGTTCTGAGACCTGCCTGGGCAACTCGGCGAGACCTCATCTTTACAATAAATTTTTAAAAATTAGCAGAGCGTGATAGCACGCGCCTGTAGTTCCAGCGACTTGGAAGGCTGAGGCGGAAGGATCGCTGGAGCCCAGCAGGTCGAGGCTGTGGTGGCCGGGAGCGGCCACCTGCACTCCAGTCTGGGTGACAGAGTGAGACTCCAACTCAAACAAAACAAAACAAAAACGTAAGCTATATATGTTGAGCACTGGAACTTTGTAACTACCTCTCACAGATCTATTATCCAAAGATAATTTGCTAATCATTTTTAGCTATTGAAAATTAATTTGGCCCCTTCTTGGTAGTCTATAGGATTTCGAAAGGGGGAATTTAAAGTTTGTTATAGCTCCCTCAAAGATTTAGAGAAAGTGTCTTAAACTTTGATTGGGCTCTCTAGAGTTGGACTATCACGATTGCCTGGCACGGTGGCTCACACATGTAATCCCAGCATTTTTGGAGATTGAGGCAGGAGGATCACTTGAGCCCAGGAGTTCAAGACCAGTCTAGGCAACATAGCAAGACCTTGTCTCTAAAAAAAATAAAAATAAATTAGTCAGGTGTGTTGTCATATGCCTGTAGTCCCAGCTACTTCGGAGGCTGAGACAGGGTTGCATGACCCCAGGAGATGGAGGTTGTGGTGAGCCATGCCACTGCACTCCAGCCTGGGTGAGAAAGTGAGACCGATTCCAAAAAAAGAAAAAAAGTGTGAGTGTGTGTGAGTGTGTGTGTGTGTGTGTGTGTGTGTGTATCAGATGTTATATACATATATAAATTAAGTCACCATTTGTCCTCTCAAGGGGCAACATAAAATATTAAATGGTAGATTTCCCTTGCTTGTAAAAATGGACAGAGAGTAAGATGATAGTTCTTTGCATATTTAGAGAAACTGCTTTTCTTTTTTTGGGGGTAGGCTGAGGTGAAAGGATTGCCTGAGTCCACGGGTTTAAGACCAGCCCGGGCAACTTGGAAAACTGTTTTTCTTTCAAATGTTGTCTAAGGCAACGCCTAAGTCAGCACAATGTGATGGAAGGAGCACTGGTATGGGAGTGAGGGTCTCAGCTTCCGAAGCTGTAAAATGACCAAGCTGAAGATGATCTCCAGACCTTATGGAGTTTTCAAAGCGGTTGGACATAAAGCCATGGAACATCCTCATGTGCATCAAAAGTTATATTTCATATTTATTATTACAGTTGGCTTAATGTTCCAAGCACAACGCTTACAGATCTATTGTACTCAGATAAACTTTGTGTTTGTGGTTTAGGTTTATCATATCACTAATATTTTAAAGTGTAGCTAATAGCTAAGGACACATAGACGGAAAGGACCATCATAATAATTGTATTTAACTCTGATTTCTTAAGAAAATAATTATCCAGTTTGTGAACGTGTAAATCCTCTATAGCTCTCTTCCCACTTCTAGACAAGAAAAAAGAAGGGTTAAATTCCAGTTTATGACTTGTCTATAAGCTTCAAAGACATTTAAAAATGAGTTTTGGGCAAGATTTGGAAGTTTCTATTTTGGGGGCTAACCTCATCACTTAATTTGAACTGGAGATTACCAGCAGTACTGTATATAGTTCATTAATTTCAACTCATCATTTCATAAATGTTAATATTTTCTCTTTATATGTGGCTGCATGGCATGTTATCATGCTTTTTAAAAGCTATTGAAAAGAAACCTTAAATAAACTGTAGTCTGTTAAATCATATTAGCCTATGGGAGAAAGTTAACATTTCTATACTTCCATATTTCAAATTAACAGTAGGGCAGTATATTGTGCCAGTTGGAGCACCAAACAGTGGGTATGACCCATCTCATTAGTCAGATAGAATACACTGCAGATTCTCTCAGATGTTAACCTCTAGCACAAACCTAAATTCTGGCATGTCTAGTTAAAACTTCAAGAACATACCACAGTTTTTATTTTTAAGTTTTATTTTATTATAGGGATGTGAGGTAACAGTGAGGATTAATTACATAAGTAGGATGCATGCAGGTGAAGTTTGGGCTTCTAACCGGCCCTCACTCCCCCTAAACACCTTTTAATTAGGGAAAAATTAAACTTCTAAAACACAACAAAATAACGAATTTCTTTTCGATAGCGATAGTCTGTTTTCCTTTTTACAAAGTCATGAGCTCTATTTTTCATGATTTAAGAGTTTCAGCTCGGCTACTCAGAAGGCTGAGGCGGAAGGATCGCCGGAGCCCAGCAGGCGAGGCTGCACTCCAGTCTGGGCGACCGAGTGAGACTCCAACTCAAAAAAAAAAAAAAAAAAAAAAAGAGTTTCAGCATAATTTGGTCAAGAGTATTTCTACAGGAATAGGAAGAGAATCAAAATATGCCTAGCTGGGTCTCATCCTCACTGCTAGCTACTGGGATTTCACAGCTGGATGACTAGGTCCTAAATTGGACAAAATGTTTTACAGGAGGTATGCATTTGAGTGAGACAGAGAAAACCTAGAAACGCAATTCCGGGCCTTATTCATAGCTATCAAGACCAAGGGAACGACTGCCATAAAAAGGCTGGTAAGTTACGCCTTGCAGCGTGGAGTAGTACGGCCGGCCTCTATTTCCCAGGCCCTGCACCCGGGGTTGCGGAAGAGACAAAAGAAAGGCTCTGCCCTCGCCCTTCTCCAACTTAAAATCCAATTCGCCAGGCGATGCTTATAAACCAGCTACAGTATCAGCGGGGGGTGGAAGAGGGGGGCGCGGGGAGCCCTGCGTACAACAATTGCCGATGAGCGCGATGCAAGTCACAACTGAAATCCAACGGTAAGGAATTTTGCGCGAATTGCTGGAGAAATACATCAGGCCCATCTAAGATGGAAGAAGAGGCGGAGGATCCGAGTTGAAACGCCAAGTCGGGGCCTGCAGAAAGCATCTGCAGAGGGCGGCCTTCAGGTGAGGAAGGCAGAGAGCAGAACGAGCACCGCCACCAAAGCCCCAGAAAGGCCGGCGGCTTTTGCGGCCAGGCCGCTGCACCGAAAGGCGGCTGCCCCGGCCTCCATTTGCCGGCCCCCGACC